TTACTTTCTCAAAACTAGCTTTTGTACCATCGAGTGTCAGGAGGTACCCAATAACTTTTCAGTTGATGCTCCAAAGTTACTTTTTAGCAGATTTAATTTCATATTTTATTTTTTGAGTCTGCAAGGTTTATTTTAAGTTATTTATATGTTATTCTACCAACCTAAGTTCAACTAAAATATCATTGACATAACATTCAATATTTTTTGCTTTTTTTTTACTTTGAAAATATTACATTACATGAAGCTGATAAGTAACCCAACTTTCTTAAGCTGAAAAAGCATTACATTATAACAATAAAATCCTTCACTTGTAATAAAAAGCAATATTCTCAGCATTAGCTGGGTGCATCTTGATTTGGTGGTAACCTGAGAATTGTCCATGAAAATCATGATTGAATGTCTGACTACAGAGTCCACCATTGCATCGATTCTCTATAGAGGGTAACCATTATTGGGACAAACCACATTCAGATTTGTGAAGTCCACTCACATCCTTCACTTGTCATTAAACTTCTACACCTTGACTACATTCAATATCCAAGAGGAATATCATACCTCTCAAATGTAGCTCACCTCCTTAAACTTCTGCAAGTCCTTCTGAATCGGCTTGGCCAAAGTCAAGGCTGACAACCAAATCTTCTATTTCATAGGCCTGGTGCCCGAGCTGACATTTATTTGACGACAGACTACATCTATGGGGATGTCTAGAATCTCAGCAACCGATCATACGAAGATGTCTTGGTGCTTCTGAAGGGTCATTATCAGTGAATCTTTGTGCACTGAATGAAAAAATCTCATTGATTAAAAATTTTTTTTTGGGTTCATTGAGGTCGGCGAGGATCTCGATGGAAGTTTTGCCGATTTCAAGACCCCCTTCACGCTTATGTTGGATGTTCAACATTTCTTGCTCCACACCATCTACCACCTGTAGGTAGCACATTTAAGACTGTTCCAGATTCCTAAGCACATTCAAGATCTTCCCATCACACAAAAATTTTTCTATCAGATGAAGTTGTTAAGCAAAAAGCAACCAAAGATTGCATTGTATGTCGGTGGCACGTCCACCACTAAGAAGTCCTCCATAAGAAAGAATTGGATGCCACCTTGTTAACCTAATTATGCCTAGTGCTTCCTTCCATTTACCCAGAACCCATAAGTTGGATCAATCCCTTTGACCATGTGACCAGTTAACAGATTTATTTTATTGAATGTAGCTTTGAACTGAATTTTCCATAAGTTACTTATATCAACCAAAATACTACCTACTTGGAAGTTGTTTATTATTGTAATGATGACGACAGTGTCATTTTTGGGATTCCCTTTAGGGGCAAGTTAGCATTAGTAAAGATGATCGGGGGATGGAGGTTCTCCTTTGAGTTGGAAGCATCGACACAGTACTTCCCCGATCGATTCCTCTTTCGGTCGACTCTTAGGACTGAGTCTCCTCCAATATCATCAGTAGTACCCTGTCGGGGTTTTTTTTTTTAAAATAAGATTTTAAAATTTAAATTTAATATAATATATATATATAATGTAATTTTAATTTTGTGAAAATGATATTTTCTTTTTAATTTTTGGAAAATAATGAGACTGGATAGACCTCATATATTTAATAGTTTAAATAGTTGAGCACAATACCACAAGTGATATATCATCTCAAAAGGATGAGTGTATGACTTGTTAGTAGGCTTAACTATCCAAACTTAAAATTTTATGACTCTATTTTGGTCTGTAAATTTACAGCTGACAAATTTCCCTATCTAATGCAAAGATTAGACAGGGTTTTGATTAGTCTAGGTTCTTAATTCCCTATAGATGCAAGCCCCTATAATTTATTACATTACAAATGACATAGGTCATTTGAGAAAACTCTCGATAATGATTAGAGGCTCCGTCCTTAATAATTCAACATTTAGGATTCCACGATTGCTTATAGGAAAATTCAAGTGGGATAACTTCAAATAAGAACAGTTATTTCCGGAATCCAAATTAGTGAAAGTAAGAGATATTGAAGATACCGAATAAAATTTTGTGTCATCTCAAACTAAACTATGGTTAGGCTTTACATCTTTGAAAGAGAAATTATTTGATGTTTCAGTCCTGCAAGTTATTTAGATATTCGGGACTTATATCTGTATGTCATATGCAAATAGCCCGAGAAAATATGAGGATTTATCATACCGAACGATGACCTCAGAATCCTAAAAAGTTTATGACTTATATCGTATGATATAAAATCGTAGAAAGTCCTAAAAAATAATGTATGAGGGTTTACATCATGTCAGACAAACGACCTCGACGTCCTATAAGTATGTCATTTAAGTCTACGAAAGTTGGTTGGAGTTCCTCATGTCGTCTTCTGTTGTCATCTCGGTCGCCTCCCCGAGATGAATCGACAATCGACCACGTCGTTGTCTCGTTCTGAGAAGAGGAGAAAGAGAAGTGATAAAATCATGTCTCGAATGGCCTATCCTACGGTGTTACACAAACATGCTAGGATAAAAATATTAAAAAAATATGAATATAGATGATTGTCTATAACACAATGTAGTAAAGAAAAGGAACATCTGTGTAATAAAGTACTGTAACAGAAAAAGACTGAAGGAAAACTACGAAAGTAAACCAATATAAAAAAAGAAAGACTATGCAGTAAAGAAAGGAATATACAGTAAAGAAAGAAAACTGAAACAACTAAGTATACCTGATTAAATCTGGCAATGTTCTAGGAAATTGTAAAAGAGAACTCAGAAATAAGAATGCCCAAATCAAGAAACAAAACAGCTCACAGTCCTTCCTCGGAGTAAAAAAAATGCCACCCTATTCCTCCCCCATGGGAGTATTTATTGCCATCGAGAGGGCAAGGGGCTCACGACAAGGGAAATGCATAAACCCAAGAACGAGAGGGTTACCAAATTTGTTGCGTGCGAAAAGTCGTTACAAGAAAGTGACCGGCAGTTATGACCGAAGAAGAAGGTAAGCCGCAACCGGAGAGGAATAAGGTGATCGGAGAAACCAGAAATGGGGCCTCCCTACTCGGCCGAGAGGAACAAAGGGAGTTAGGGCATGTTTCGGTCCCAAGAAAAGAGGAGGCACACATGAGGGACAGATTAGAGCTTAGGGGTTTTAAAACCTTTCTATGAAAAAAATATTTTTTTATTTTTTTTAAAGAAACTATCAAATTTTGTGCAAGTGTGGCGCCCCAACAAAATGGGTGTCCTTCCTAACTAACATCAACGTTCTGGACATGACGGCGTGGTCCGTTTTGTCATCCAGGGTTATTTAGACAAATTCATCGATGATCGCGCCAAATTAACCACAGTTTGTGCGCGTTGCGACAAAAAAATTATTTTGGTCCGATCTGAGCCGTTCAATGAATAAAAATAAAAATGTTGATCGGTCCTCACATAAGTGACAACCAAAATCAAACACATCGCTCGTGGTGGCAAGTCAATTGTTGCACACGTCATGGTGTCCACATGTGTCTTTTGAATTTCTATATGAGTTCAATTTGAGCTTCAATACGTTGGCTTTTCAATCGACTCAATCAAATGTTGAGGATCTGAAACCTCCCATATGAAAGAAACTTCAAAAAGTGTTGAGGATCTGAAACCTCCCATATGAAACTTCAAAAAGTGAAGTAAGTCTAGTCCTCAAGTGGTGTAGATCCCAGTCTAGTCCTCTAAGAGAGTCAAATAGGAAATCCTAAGGCTAGATCCTAGGGTATCTAGGGAAGAGAAAAAAAGACCGCAAAATGAGGTCAACAAATGGACCCTCAATAGGTGTGGTGTGTTACATAATCGTGACACACCTATTGGTGTCGACCGAAGCAACCAACAACATTTTGAAAAAATGTCTAAGTAACCATACTTGGGACAAATCGAGTGTCGAATTCGAATTGAGGTGAAGTAGGATTTTTGCTAAGGATGGACATTTATATTTTGAAATTGTTGTCGTGGATTTGAATTTTGAAATGACTTTTGAAATATGTGCAAAGGAAAAATTCAGCATTTGACAATAATATGAAAGAATGTGTCGAGGAAGAATCAATATTAAACCTTATCCCAAAGGATGTAGAGAAAAAAGTGAAGCAGGAAGACTATATCAACTCAGAATATTGTTGGGGAAGTCATATCCGAACTGAATCTAGTCTAACAAATGTCATCTGTGGTCTTAGGATTTATTACAGAGTCGAAGTGGACTTTTCCTCAAACTTAAGCGAAACAGGAAGAGACCAGACCAACTCAGAATACCGCTGGGGAAGTTATATCTGAACTGAGACTAGTCGAAGAAATGTCGTCTGTTGTTTTAGGATTCATTACAGAGTTGAAGTGGACTTCTCCTTAGCAAAATTTATTACATATGTTGTTTTATAGATCGTTCTTGCTTGTTAGCCTTTCTCAGAATCGAGGAAAATCAAATTTATTTGTTTTTCTCAATCAGTTACCCAAATTGCAGTCACAATTGTGAAAAGAAATTTCAGCATATTCTCTTTAAACTGTCATATCAGGAACGTAATTTGGTATTGAATAAAATACTGCTTGATTCCATTTAAGAGGACATGATAAAAACATCTTTTGGAACCATATGAAAATGATCCATACATCTGAATGTTCTTCCATACGTCAATACCAGATACATATGACTGAATTCAATCTGCGTATCATCCAACCAGTCATTTTCTACCAGTATCCATGTTGAAATGGTAAGCTATATAAGGGCTAGCCTCATGTTCTAACATATTATCGGAAAAGTGGAAGCAACTTTTTTTAAATATATATTGAGGTGTGCTGTCTTTAAACAACTTATAGCTCATAAGGCTACAAATTCTCTATCTCGGGATCAGGCTTAAAACGGAATGGCACCTTGTCTTCATTCATTCTCCTGAGAGTTATAGAAACTCTAGTATATAGTACTCCAGGGATATAGTGTTTAGCTACATCAGCGTCGTTCCCGTTCAAAACCAAAATTGATCCTACAGGTAAAGGGATCTCTACAGAATCTCAAAATTCTCCATCACCAACAATCTGGATTTCCGTCTCGAACATAGTGTTACATTTGTTGATGAATGAGACTGTGCAGAATGGTCTCACAAAATCATCATGATCAACATGTGGAGGAATACAGTTACCAGCCTCGTAGATATTAACTATGCAGCTATTGGGAATACAATCTGCTGGTAAGATATGCTAAGTCACCAATCGTTTAATCATTCTCTTTATGAATGATGGTAAAGGGTCAACTTCGTCTTAGCAAATTATTCCAGGCGGATTTCCTTCCTTCTCCTGAGCAAAATTATAACAACAACCATACTGTATTGTAACCCTTTCTTTACCGTGTTTCCACTTCCTGGTCTCAGAATATGTTCTTCTTAACCGACCAGCACGACCCATGTCTCTTTCCAAAAAGACATGCTCCACATTATCATCCTGCTCACTGCTAGTGAATACATTTGTGTGTAATTCTAATCCTTCAAGTATATTAACATACTTTCCCTGAAGCCTCTAAAAATGCTCGAAGTTCTGCTTTCTTAATTTCTCATATTATTCCAGCTCATGTTCCAAAATAATTTGTAAAGGACGTGTTCTACTTACAAATTGAGGAATGTAAGGCTCAACCTTTATAGATCTTTCTTCAGTCTTCACGGGTTGAGGTAGCACTTCAACTGGCCGATCAAAAGTTTTCCCTTTTAATTTGATTGCCATTTGTGTAATAACATCTTCATTTTCCCCTTGTTCTTTTAACTGCTCCAGCATCTTACGGATGCGGCAATTTTGGTTTCTTTTCTGCATGCTAGTGAGTGTTGCTTTACCTTCCAGCTGTTTGTCGGTAGGGTTAGCACCAACAAGCTCGCCCTTTGAAGTCATTACCATTGACTTCATTCGATTAATCGCAGCATTACTTGACTCTGCTTCATCAACTTTTCTAACTTTCTTTTCTTCGCAGCGGTGAATTGATTCTTACTCCTGAATTTTAGTGCAGGCTTTTGCTCACAAAATTATTTCTTATTAACCATGGTTATGGCCAAACTTTCGTAATTCAGCTCGATCTGGTCAATGTTGAGATCGAATTCGATCACTCCCCCTTCTTCAAACTTTTCTTTGTAAAGGGAAAAACCCATGACATTCTTGAAGGTAAAAATTGTCCTTCCTCTTGACATTTTCCTGCACCAAAATAGGAAAACAATCAATATGTCAGACCGGGCTTAAGCAAGAATAATATGAATTCCCAATAGTTTGAATCATTCTAGCTTGATATAATTCCAGATTTTATTGTGCTATCAATCATTTTCTTTCCAATCATTTTCCTTCCAAACTTTCTAATTCTTCTAGTCGTAATCTGGTGTTCTCTTCAGTGGCAATTTTATTGGCAATGACAACTCTGAGAGATGGAAGTTGAACTTCTAAAGGTAGCACAACCTCGGACCCATACACAAGAGCATTAGGTGTAGACTAAGTTGGAATTCTAAACGTAATCCTATAGGCCCATAAGTCTTCTAATAACTGCTCATGCCAACTTCTTTTATTTTCATCCAAAGTTTTCTTTAGAATTTGGACGAGAGTCTATTTAAAAGCCTCGGCCAATCCATTAGCCTTTGGATAATAAGTTGTAGAATAGCGTCAATCTATTCCGTGTTTTCTGACGAAGTTATTGATTTTTGTGTTTTTGAATGTGGAACCATTATCTGAGATGATCCTACGTGGTACCCTAAAATGATAGACAGCTTGATTTTTGAAGAACTGCAGAACATGGTGTGCTTTCACTTCCTGAAGAGTTATTGCTTCTGCCCATTTCGAAAAATAGTTTGTTGCAGCAAGTATGAATCGATGTCCCTTCAAAGGTGGAGGGTTTATAGGACCCACTATATCTATACTCCAACACTTGAATGGCCATGACACGATTGTTGGGTGCAATACGTTTGGAGGTTGATGCAAGACCACTCCGTGTACTTGATTTTAATGACAACTTTTGGCAACCTTCAAACAGTTGGTCATCATCACAGGTCAGTAATATCCTAGCCTTTTGATTTTGATTTTCATTTTTGGACCTGACTGATGAGTGCCACAAATTCCTAAATGTGTCTCCTTAACAATTTTTTGAGCTTATGAACCTTTCACACATCTCAACCACATTTGGTCAAAAGATCTTCGGTAAAGAACATTATCTATTAAAACATATGACAAGGCTCTTTTCTTTATCTGATGCGCCATTGACTTATCATCCAACAACTTTCCTATTTGCAAATATTCTATAAAAGGTTGACGCCAATCTTCTGTATTTTCTATAGTTTCCATTATTATTTCTTCTCTACCCAATTTATCTAAGGTATCAATATCAATTTGAGATAGAACTTGAAGCCCTTGAACAGTTATCTCGATGAAACTTTCCTGTGGAAATTCAAATTCCTTGGCGAGTCTGGCTAATGCATCTGCAAGAATAATCTCTCCCCTTGGGATTCTGTACATTGTCATATTTGGAATATGTTCCAATAACTTCATTGTGTAACGGTGATATTGTTCCAATTTAGTTTTCAAAATTCTATACTGTCCAGCAACCTGTTGAATAATCAATTGTGAATCTACGTAGATATTAATATCAGTTCTACCCATTGATATTGCCAATTGTAACCTTGTTATCAATGCTTCATATTCTGCCTCATTATTTGTATATGGTTTTGTTAAATGGTAAGAATAACTTAACATTCCTTGTTGCGGTGTAATAAAGATCAGCCCAATTCCTGCTTTACCAGGTATTATTGTTTGCAATTATTTATCCCTTTGTGCTGAAGAAGCCCCAACAAAATATAATTCCCAACATTGAGTCTTGGAATTTTCCAAATTCATTATCTGTTTATCCGGTAAATCATCATTGAGAGGAGAATCAGCTGGTAACTGGTGCGCTGCGAGGAATTCTGCTAAAATCTACCCTTTCACAGCTCGAAGGGGAACGAAAGTTATATCAAATTGTAATAATACCATGGCCCACCTCGCTAACCAACCAGAAAGCGTCGGTCGGGTCATTAAATATTGCAGTGGATTAAACTTTGAAATAAGGTTAACTTTGTGAGAAAGCATGTAATGTCAAAATTTCAGGACTACGAAGATTAAAGCCAAACAGTGTTTCTCAATCGGAGGATACTTTAGTTTCACTAGTATTAAACAACGACTTAAATAATAAAGTGTGTTTTCTTTACCATCATCATTGACTTGGGCTAGCAGGGCTCTGAGGGAGTCATCCAAAGTTGCGGTATAAAGTATTAAAGGCCTACCTGAGATGGGCACTGCCAAAATAGAAGGTGTCGTTAGGTATTGTTTAATACTTTCAAAAGAACATTGACATTTATCATCCCAAATAAATATTGCGTCTTTCTTAGTCAACGCAGAAAAAAAGTTGACTCCTACCTGACAAGTTAGAGATAAAGCATCTTAGATACGCCATCCTCCCTTGAAAGGATTGTAATTGCTTTAAATTTTTAGGGGGTGGTATTTCCAGGATAGCTTTAATTTTTCCCAAATTAATTTCAATCCCACAGTGATGAATAACAAACCCTAAACATTTCCCAGAAGTCACACCAAATGCGCACTTTAGGGATTCATTTTAAGGTTAAATTGTCGTAAACGTTCAAAAATAATTCTCAAATCGTACAAATGATCTTCTTTCCGTCTGCTTTTGATAACCAAATTGTCCACATAACATTCCACTTGATTGTGAATGAGGTTATCAAAAATTCTTTTCATTGCTCACTGATATGTTGCACCAGTATTCTTTAATCCAAAAGGCATTGTTGTATAACAATAAACTCCAACGGGCGTTCGGAAAGCTGTAAATTTTTTATTTTTGGGAGCCAATTTTATCTAATTGTATCCAGATGATCCATCCATAAAGGAGAAAATTTCATGAGATGACGCAATATCCTTCATGAGTCATGAGATGACGCAATATCCACCATCAATTCTGGAATTAGAAGAGGAAACTTATCTTTTGGGCATGCTTTATTCAAATCTTTAAAGTCCACGTAAATACAAATTTGCCCATTTTTCTTCTTATTATTATGCTAGCCAGCCATGTGGGGTATTGTTCTTTCTGTATGAATTTAGCGTCTATTAGTTTCTTAACTTCATTGATAACTTGTTTTTCAATATCAAGACACATTCTTTTTTGGAGCTTGTTTAACTAGAATTGTAGTAGGATCTAAGCCAACTTATGTACTGCAACTTCTGGTGCTAATCCAGGCATTTCCTCGTAACTCTAAGAAAAATAGTATTTAAATTCTGTCAACAAATTATTCATATTCATACTCTTCTTCATCAAATAAAGAGCTAATGAAAATTGGCCTTGGTTCCTTTTTGGTACCCAAGTTAATTTCTTGTAACTCATCTATTGTTGATTTGATCTCTTCTTTGAATTCTGGTGGAGCATCCTCAATTATAGGATCTTCATAGTTGTCCAGAGCTTCTTAACAATTTTTGTCATGCTCATTAGTAACAACTAGGCAAAACTCCGTATCATCAATAGGTCCTACTGTGCAGAACCTAAGACCTTGTTTAGACTTGAATGCTTGATTATTATTATTATTATTATTCTAAAGTTTTTCAAAATAATCTGATTGATCTCTTGACCATTACTTAAGCACCATAGCACGCTGAGCAAGGTTTTGAACACAAGGCGAGTACCAATCAACAGGTAATTCCATTAATTTAGAAGAAAGATTATCTTCTAGTTCTACATTGATTTTAGAACTCACTACATTGATTTTAGAACTAGAGGATGAAGAACCACGATGAAACTTAATTATTTTCATACCTGCACTATGTACTTCTTTGACAATTTGACCCTCAATTTTATGTGTGGAAATTGGGGTGAGGGCCACAATTTGTACATAGCGATTAATCCGATCATACATTGAGCTATACACACATTTTCTTTGTCTTCTATATCGATTTGAAACTGAGGTTTCTTCTGGTTAACCGTCATTACAACCTTCTTGTCTTTCTCATCTTTAGAACTGTCTTCCAAACCAATGTTAATAATTGAATTCTTTTGTTCAACGATTTTATTGTTCCTTCCACGATCTTGTCCTCGGACTCGATCTCGGATACAAGTTCTAGAGAAACTCTCACCCTCTTGTTGTAAAGGAGTGATAAAAGATCATTGAATCGGTACTGCATGACCTTGTCTTTATATTCTTTTTGGATCTTTTACTTTACTTGCAGCAATATCATGAGATAGAACAATCCTTTTCAGAGGAGTTAGTAAGTGGCATGCTTCATGGATTGAAAATGGTTGTAAATCTCCTTTTATACAATATTCTTGTCCTTCCAGATAATATTTTATACATTGATGTAGTGATGAAGGAACCAAACTGTTTTCATGAATCCAGGTTTGGCCCAAGAGAGCATTGAATGAAGTCTCAGAGTCAATGATATGAAATTTTGCAGTTGTTACTAATTCTTCAATTTTTTAAGAGCTCTTTCCCCTTTCTGGTTAAAACCTCTTAACATCATCTTATCAGCAATCAACTGTCTTGCATCTATGTCCAAATAAGCCAATGTTCGTAAATTCATTATATTAATGGACGCTCCTGGATCCACTAATACTCTAGAGAGCATGAAGTTACCGATGTTGACAGAAATATACAACGAACGATTATGATCAGCAGTACCCAACAGCAAATCATCATTTGTAAATGTTATTTTTGCTTGTTCCCTTAATGAACAAACCTCATCCAAGGAAGTACTAGCAAGTTGAGCTAAATAGATTTCTGGATCAAGTAAAGCTTTTACTAAAGCCTCCCTCATTTCCTTTGATAGGATCAGTGCATCATATATACTCAACTTAGCAGGTAACTTCCTAAGATGGGCTAGTA